ATGTAGAAGAAAAAGTGGTTACTCTGATAGAAGATGGTAAGGTTGCTGAAGCAATCAGAGATATGGAGAAAGAGGACGAGCAACGCAATCTGAGAATGTGGAAGAAAAGGGGGTTGCTTTGATAGAAGATGGTACGGTTGCTGAGGCAATTAAAGATATGCAGAAAGTGGAAGAGCCAAAGCAGTCCGAGAATGTGGAAGAAAAGGCAGTTGCATTAGATGCTACGGTTGCTGGAGCAATTAAAGAATTGGAGTAAGTGGCTTCTCTGGAGGTGGAGTAGAATAAGAATGGAAGTGAAAAGGGTGAGAATTCATCATCACCGTCTGATCTGAAGGAGTATAAGAAAAAGGCACCGACAGAGCTCAGATTGAAGAGGCCATTTGAAGAACAAGTTGTTTAAGGGGAAGAGTCCAGAAGGAGAAACCGGATAAAGAAAATGAAGACGGATCTATAAGAGATGAAGAAAAGGAAAAAGAAGAGAAATCTAATTTCGAGGGAGGAAATGTAGTTGATAAGGGGAAATCAAAAGTGGACGACGAAAAGCAAAAATCAGATTAAGGTTAGAAGTGGAAAAAGAGGTTGAAATTGATCAAAATATTTTCCCGTGGGGCGTTCCCCTATCGCCAAGCAAGGGAGATAAAGGCTTAGATAGTTTGCTCCAGAAATGCTTGACAGCCAGAGAGTTTAAAGTCAATGATGCCTTTGAGATGTTGAACAACACTCTTAAATGAAGGAAAATAAGATTGATTCAATCATGGAGGAAGATTTGGGAATGATTATGACACAATGGCCTACACGAAGGGACAGGATCGCGAAGGCCATATGGTTTGCTACAATGTTTATGGAGTACTTGTGAATGATGAAGTGTAAAACAAGACTAATGGAACGGAAGCCACCCATGAGGAATTCTTGAGATGGAGGTTTCAATTAATGGAGCAGCAGATTCAGAAGCTTGATTTCAAGCCCAGAGGCATTTCCACATTGTTCCAAAATAAGGATCTCAAGAACACCCCAGGACCTTCAAGGAAGGATCTCCAGCTTGCCACCAGACGGGCTGTTGGCATTCTGTAGGATAATTATCCTGAATTTGTTGCAAGAAGAGTAAGCATTTCTTTTGCCATCCTCGTGCATTCTTCTATCCTCTTATCTTCATATGATCTCTGTTCAAAAGGAAATTCTAATGTTCTATTTACCTTTATTGATGGGTCCATATGTTATATGTAGATCTTTATCAATGTACCTTTCTGGTATTATGCCTTCAATGCACTCTTATCGCCTTTCTTAAAACAAGGGACCAAGAGCAAATTCGTCTTTAGTCTTCCCACCAGGGTTACTGAAATACTTCTCAATTAAGCAAAGTTCATTTTTCTCCCTCAGTTGTTTTAGTGGAGGCTTCAAAAATGATATATGACGCTTTGTTGCAGGTATAATGGTGTAGAGGAAATTCCTGTTCACTATGGAGGTCTCAGAAGAGAGAATGATCCTGATTTTTCGACCAAAGATGCAGCTTCTGAGATTACTGTCAAGGCTGGAGTAACTGAAACTATTGAGATTCCTGCACCAGAGGTAAATCAACTACTATGTTGCATCCACTACTTTATTTATTTCCTTTTATTCTTTAGACTTTTCTTCATATAACAACAAACTAAACCTTATTCCTCATAAGCTCGTCTATGGGGATCATCTTTGGTCACATTATATGTGCATAGTTTAAATATCACCAATTTTTCTCTAGGCAGGATGGAAATACATTGATGTGGATCTGACTATGGTAGGTTGGGATGTGAATTACAAAGAGGAGATTGTTCCAACAGATGAAGGGTCTTATAACATAATCGTGAAGAAGGGAAAGAAGATAACATGGCAAGAAGATTCCATTCGCAATTCTTTTAGAACCAACGAAGCTGGCAAGGTTGTGATCACAATTAAGAATTGAATTTACATAAAGATGCGAGTCTTGTACAGATACAAGACCGTGAATACTTCTGCTGATTCTTGAGTTGATTGCTTAGATAATAACGATTTTATGGCAATTAACTGGAAGAATTGTTTCTCCTTCTCTTGTTTGTTGTTCTATTTCTAGGTTCAGAATTCAGACCTAAACTGGTGGCTGGTATGCCCTGCTAATTATAGGAAAACGTTATTTTTGTGACCTCCTAAATCATCTGTGTGGGTGAAAGTTTTCTGATGTTTTCCTAATCATTCCTCCAACAGGTATGCGGTTCTATTTTGTACAAACTTGATTTGGGAAAATATACTCTATATTTTTCGTTCTCATTTGGACAAAAGGAAAGTTTATAACTTCATGGCAAGCAAAACATTGATTACATTCAAAACACCATAAGTAGAACAAGTAATGAAATCTCATATTAAAATTGATTTCGTAAGGCCAGCGATGGGTCCACACAGATGATGAGGAACAAAGTGCATGCATAGTTTAACCATAATAATGGGGTAGATGAGGTGTGGAGTTTCCTCATTTCGAGGAGGTTCAAGGCGCCTAAAGAATTTCAAATAAAGCTACAACAAAAATTTTGGTTAACATTAGGCAAATAAACTTTGGAAGTTTCCCACATAGCAACAAAACATTACATGCTCATTTCTTAGACAGAAGCACTAGTACAGGAGCTAAAGGACGGTTTAATGTTTGGAGTTTGCAGCAGACCCAATTGTCAACAGGTAATTCAGAAGCAAAGGCTTGGACTGCTGCAAACTCGTCCCTACAAGCATGAAGACAAGTATAAAGTGTTACTCAAGAGCCAAAAAATTATCAAGATCCATAGTCAAATTCTGCATAAATAACTAGAAGTCTGTCCTAAATCAGTGAAGAGAAAGCACCCATCTAACCTTATTATTGTCCTAAATCAATGAAGATATTTATTGAATTGATCAAATGAGTGTAAAGAGCAATGCATTCAAGCTCACAATCCAATCTTCAATCATTTTCTCTTCAATGGAACACGCTTATTCAAAGTTAACATCTTATCCATCTTAGTCAATGAAATATCAATAATGCAGTGTTTATAGAAGCATCTGTGCTTTTATGTCTCTGTATGCGAAGGAAGAGAGAGAAGACAGCCAAAGTTCACTCTCCGAATGATATAGCCCCCCCTTGCCAACCAGTTAAATGGAAGAAAAGGACAAAAACACGCAACAAGAAAGAAAAATGGAAATTCTAAGTATATTACCTTCCACCTGCATGGCCCACATAGACCACTATGCTGATGAGTCCTCCAGGTGCCAGTATTCTTTTGGCAGCCTCAAGTGCATGTATTGTTGTCTCCGACCGAGTTATGATTTTCTTGTCACCTCCTGGAAGGTAACCCAAGTTGAATGCAACTAATCTAAAAATGGTGAAGAAATGGAAGTTAGAATATGATTAGCATAACAGTGAAAAGTGTCCTAGACTTTAGACACTAGGGTCTCCAACAGAAGTTACATAATTGCAACAATACCTCACAGCAGCACCACTGGGAACAATTTCCTCCATTTTAGTATGACAAATGGCATAAAGCTCTACCACTTCTCTCTGCATTGCAACAGTAAAAAAGACATTTCTTCATTGAATAACACATTAAATTATGTTTCCAGAGAATGAAATATAACCACAGAAAAGGGTATTTCTGAGAAACCAAAATTTCAGACATGATGATTATTCAGCGTAAGCAATATGTAACTCTTTTAACTGTTAGAAATGATCGCTGCTCATACTAAGAGACATTCGGAATAATGTTGGTTTATAAATGATTTGCAAAATATACAAGGAAATGAAGTCTGTAGCTGCTCAAATTTGGTTTTTGCTTTACCTCGTAACTCAAATTCATACTAGTTAAATAAAATATCCAATTTATAGTAATCTTTTCTTCTTCATTTTAGTTAGTTTAGTAGCAACACTAGTTTATATAAGCTAAAATATATTTTCTCATAGCTGTTGCATCTTAGGTGTTTCTGATTTTTAGTTCCTAGCTTCTTTGAGCAGGTTGCCATGAGTCATTCATTTATGCCAAAAAGCAGAAGGAAAACATTTAACCCACAATGCCTGCACGCAACATACAACATTGTGTATGTCGCCTACGTGTACCTGGGAAGTTGCATTGCACAAGCACATACGGATGCATCCTACACCAATGAAGTCTAAAAAGACGAGGTAAAACAATGTTTAGGCTTAGATTCTCTCTTAGCAGTTTTTGCTTGTATTATAAATGCAGCAAAATGCATTTTGCACCCAGTATTCAATTCTTAGTGGTGAAATATAATAGGTTGACATACATATTATTACGATCATCAAGTAATGGATGACTAGAAATTCAAAAAATCAGATGTGAAAAAGAAGCACCTCATCTGGATTGACGGATCGATCCAGCAAAGAATCAGTATTCTCCAAGGCAACTTTTTGTAAATCCATTGCATAAACCCGACCTTTACGTGTTTCATCAGCAACCAATCTTAGCATTGCCAAGGTATCATATCCATTTCCACAAGTGGCATCAACAACAACATCCCCTTTCCGGATAACATTCTTCCAGACTCTAATATGCGAAGACAACATTCAATTCACAACAATAAACAGTATATATTAATTGATCATACTTACAGAAAAAAGAATCACTCTCTTATTGGTAAGTGATGAGTACCTACGAGTGAGCAACTTCAGTGGCCTTCTTTTTGCCGAATATATATCCCGTTATTATATCCTCTAACCCTGCATAATCGCATAACTTGACTCAGTAACTAAGCTCAGATTCAGCAAATTAAATAGCATTTTAGCAATCTGCTCGGTTAACCTCTAATAAAAAGAACGAACCTGAAAACGTGGTGTTATTGTGTTTGGAAATTGAATTGGAAGAGAGATTCTCGGGAGCAGAAGTAACGACGTCTTTTTCTGCTATTGATTGTGTAAAGACTGATGCTTTTCGAGGGATTGACTGTAGCTTCCATAGCAAAAATGGTGGTGCTGTGACGAAGAATTTGAAATTAGTTTGAAAATGCGTAAGTTTCTGAGACAATAACATGGATGAATTAGGGTATAATCGCACAGAAGCCATTACGGAATTGTAAGAGCACAGGCAGCTGAAGAAGATGAGAGCCGTCTAATATTGGTTATTTATTATTTAGAGCCCTTAAACTATGGAAAAGTTTAATTTGACCCCTACAACTATTTTGTAAGGGTACTTTTGAATCCTCCTATTAACTTTTGTTAATTTTTTATTGATTGATAAAAAATTTAAAGAGAAAAAAATAAATAAATTGCAGTTTTGGTCCAAGTGGACTGTGGAGCCAATGGACAAACTATGATAAATTTTTCATCCCAAAATGTCAAAGTACATTGAATTCGAAGAATTACCAACCCAAAAAAATGCAGACAAAGAGGAACTCCCAAGTCTTTAATGTTCGATCGTCTTTTTCATGCGAACATGAATTGATTGTATTAAAAATAAACAATATAGAAAACAGAAAAGGAAATGAGTAAATTTGTTCGAGAAATCTAGATCCTCTTGAATTATTGGTTATTGAAAAACCATTAAGCCTCCCGAATACAAACAATATGTTTGTAGAAATAACTATGAAAAATTTTCCATTGCTACTTTTAATAGGAGTCTGAACCATATCTCAATCCCAATATAGCTAATCATCCTCTCGAACTAGCTACTAATCATTGCTTTGATAAGCTATAGCTTCACCAATTAATTTATCAAATGCGAGCCCCCTCTTCGAACTAACACCTTTATTTCATTTTTTGCTCAAACATAAAAGAGAATAATACAAGACCTTGTGTCCTAAAACTAAGTAGGATAATATGAATAATGCTATAATAGTTATTCTATGAGGAAGTCTGTCATTTAGAACATTAATTTTCCGTAACTCTATTGTCTCAATCAACAAACTATTACGTAACAATGACTATTGCAATAGTTGATTATAGATAATGTTACTCGATAATATAATTCATAATACTCGTACTTGCTATTTCAATCAAAGACGAGCATCTGAATGTTTAATATTCAGATTCCAACTCATTATATATATTATTCTTCCTTGACAGGATCCGCTACTTTGCAATCTACCTTATTAAAGAAGTTTTATACGAGAGAAACCCATCAATTCATCACTCACAAAAACCATCATATCATTGTTCAAAGCCGGAAAAAACTGTTATTTGCCCCAACACAGGGTGATAGGCACGGTTCTAATTATTCAAATTTGATCTACAATTCTACAAGAACAGTTCGAACATTTATCGGCATCCACTATGGTAAAAGCCCGGACCAACAATGGACGAATTGGGAAACAGCAAGATGAATTTGCCTAAGCATCATCAAGGGCAAGAACTCCAGGTAGCTGTTTCCCCTCGAGAAGTTCCAAGCTGGCACCACCTCCGGTTGAGATGTGGCTCATCTTCTCCGCCAACCCAACCTTTTCAACAGCAGCAACAGAGTCACCTCCTCCAATGATTGTTGTGACTCCCTTGCCACTGAGTTCTGCCAATTTCTTGGCTATGGCCTGAAATAATGAACATGCATGCTCAATTTAAAATATCCGAATAATTCGTTCAATAAGCTAAATGAGTGAAGTCTCTTGAATAATGCAATTTATGTTCTATCATCAAGTACCTCAGTTCCAGCGGCGAACTTATCAAACTCAAATACTCCCATTGGTCCATTCCAAATTATGGTTTTGGTAGTATCCAAAGCTTCGCTAAATGATTTGATAGAATCAGGTCCAATATCTAATCCCATCCAACCATCAGGGATTCCAGATGCCGGGACAACCTGCAAAAACATTGAGGAACGTCTCAGTCGGCATGTATTCTAGTAACTTGAATTAGAATATTAGGTGCAGCATTCTTCTCTGTTCACTTCCTACCTTGCTATTAGCATCAGCAGCAAACTTGTCAGCGGCTACCACATCAGAAGGTAACAATAAAGATACCCCCTTAGCCTTGGCCTTCTCCATTAGTGAAGTTGCAAGATCAAGTTTGTCCTCCTCAACAAGTGATGATCCCACAGCATGTCCTTGGGCTTTGTAGAATGTAAAGATCATTCCCCCACCCAGCAAGAGAAGGTCTACCTTCTCCAATAGCGACTCGATAACTGTTGGATATTGGTTAAATAAATTGAGAATTGAAAATCGATTAAAGTTTGTATCGAATTCGGCCAAATACTCAAAAGCTCGACTCAATCCGTTTAGGCAAAATTGTTTGCCACTTCGCCGCTTCGGGGCGCACAAACGGGGATCGACCTGCCCGGTCAGGTCGCGAGGATGCAGCTCGAAATATCAAGCTTCATTCATAGAAATTTCAATTTCCATAAGTATTCAATGTGATATATTAATGGACCTTGTCGTAAGGAGACTAATTTTTCCATTAAATTGAAGCAAATCTAAATTATCTGCATACCTTCTGCGTAAGGAATCCAGCAACAGAAGGTTTCAAGTACTTGGCCACTCCCTCCGTCGAAGCATGGGCTCTGTGTGCAGTTCCAAAGGCATCATTAACATATAAGTCTGCAAGGGAAGCTAGCTTCTTTGCAAAGTCAGGATCATTCTTTTCCTCTTCTTTGTAAAATCTAACATTCTCCAAGAGAAGAACACCTCCTGCCGGAAGTTCGCTGACCAATTTCACAACTTCTTCACCAATGCAGTCGTTAGCCATCTTGACCTATTGATAACGTAGAGACAAGATGAAAAAATAACCATCTGCTAACGACAAATTGATTGCTTTAACCCAACAAAACTTCTAAAATATAGTAACTTGAGAGAAAATCAACCTCAACTCCAAGTAGTTCAGATAGCCTGGGCACAAGGGGCTTCAAACTGAACTTTGGCATAACACCTTTTGGGCGCCCCTAAAACCCAAAATTTTCAAACAATGAAATCAAATAAGTAAATAGAAACACTGACTATGAGTAATTGAAAGCATGAAATGAACAGATAATAATAGACTAAGATAAAATTACAAGTTTGCTGTGCCCATGAAAAAACAGCAATCAACTAGCTAAAATTGCTAAAAGATCATCAGCAATTCCAATTGTTTGCATAACCATACTGCTGTATTTATTCCTGCATCTTTTCTCATTAATTTTGGCATAACAATGACATTGAGATCTTCAAATGAGACAACTAGATTTTTATGGGGCAAATTGCAGGACAAGAAAATAATAAGCATCCTACATTTGTGTCTGAGAATAATCTTTCAGACACAGAGTAAAGCAAATCACACTTACCAGACTTAGAAAACCTTGCAAACTCTTAATGGCAACTCAAATCAAATTGTTATGAAGCACGAAAATAAAAATAACATATCATTACCACGAAACAAAACAAAGATCCGAAATCAATGGGGAGGGAATCGCAATCTACAAAATGACAAAGTACCAAATACCACGGATCAAATTGCCCAACAGTAAAATACGTATCTCCAACATGATCAAGCAGATCTAAACAATATAAATCATAAATAGCCATAACGATTCAACTAACAAATATCCCTACTCTTACTTCAGAACTATAGCTATCTATTCTTCAGATTGAAAAAAAAGGTATACATACAAGGTGAGAGGCGAGGATGACTTTAGCGCCATAACCGATCAAGTATTTGATGGTGGGGACGGCGGCTCTGATTCTGGTGTCGTCGGTGATGTTGAAGTTATCATCCAATGGAACGTTGAGATCCACTCTAACGAACACTCTCTTACCCTTCAGATCCGCCTCCGTCAGTGATCCAACGCTCTTCTTTGTCGCCATTTAAATCAAAAACCTAAATAAACACAAAATCAAATCCAAGTGTCATATGCATATACAGAAATGTGCACATATATCTGCAAACATAGGATTACTTGAAAAGGAGAATAGTTGATTGAGCTTACAGTGTACAAATCAAGGTTCGAGTAAAGAGATTTAAACTGTAAAGTAGAAGGATAGAGAATTTTATATGTTAGATAATGGCGTAGGATGAGGAGTGGTTTTGCTAAAGGAATTAATCCGGATTGTTTCCTAAAGAGTGCTGGGCTGCGTAATTTTGACGGAGATACCGTGGTTTTGCGGAGACACCGTGGGCGGACCTTGGGCCAAGGAAATTGTTTCGAAAATTTAAAAAATGGATAATTCTACTTGTAATCTACATATGAAATTTCATAAATTTCTCAAATGTTACATTATTTGCACATTATGAATATCTTTATAGACACCATAATGTATATGCAGCATAACCCTTAAAAAATTGAGATGAATGATTTTTCTTTCATAAATCCTTTTTTTGAAGAGATTTGTTTAGAGGAAGTAAAAAATAGCTTATTCGATATTTTTTTTGTATGAATAATACTATTTAATGTTAGCGATGTTGGAGCGACAATTTATATGACATTATGTGATATATTCAATTAAATGTAAAATTATATAATTTATTTAATTGAACCTATAATTTAATACTATTAATACTGTTATATAGATCAGCGTTAAACATCGACGTTGCTAAATAGTATTATTCTTTTTGTATGAAGTACAAAATCTGTAAAAGAGAAAAAAATATCAACCCTAATGTTCAACAATTTCTCAAGATCATTGTTCCATTTTAATATTTAAATTACGTTTATTTTAAAAAAAATTAGGGTAATTAGCGTTCTTACCTTTAAATATTATTATGTAAAACATCATTACCTTTCATTTTTTGACATGTTTATTCCTATTTTCACTTTTCATTGCGAAAAAATATCATTTTCATCCAATTTCTCAATAAAAAAAATGTAAAATGATAAATATACCATCTTATTTAAATTAAAAAAAATTGAAAATCAAATTACAATTATACTCCCAAACTTTTTGAAAAACTGCAAATAAGTCCAAATAAATTAATAAAAGAGTAATTAGCACGTGTATACCTTTCAATATTATTGCGCAAAATGTCCTTACTATTTTTATTTTTTTTTGTATTTTCACCATTATTTTCACGTTACATTGCGAAAATCTTCATTTTCATCCTTTTTAAATTAAAAGCTGTAAAATAACGAATATTCTCCTATTTATATAAAATAAAAATAAAGAAGAGAAAAATAAAGAACAAATTACAACTATATTTCTAAATTTTTTCAAAAAGTACAAAAAAATTCAAAATTCAAAAAATCACTTTCTTTTTTAATTATTTATTTGTAATTTTTTGAAAAAATTGAAAGTATAGTTGCAATCGCCATCCAACCACCACCTAAGCTGTCGATATCCACTACCAGCATGACTACCTAAACTCCCTCTACAAAACCGACCAATATTTTGGCCTAATACTGTCCATAATGCGCCAAAAACTAGTAATTGCGGACTTTTTTTGATTAATAAATGATGTGAGAGAGAGGTTTTATGTTCAAAAAGAGAGGAAGAATTTTCTGCAAGTTTTTTACAATTATAGAGATAGTTCTGCAAACGGTGGAGGTGGGGTATGGCGTGGGTGGGATGGGCTAAGGGATGCCAACTGCAATCTCTAGGTATATAGAGAGTGTTTGAGCTCCATTTTTTTTTTTTTAAAAAATGTATTTTATAATAGTAGATTGATGAAAAATATATCGTTGAAAAATAATGAATTTTTATTTATTTACGTGTAATATTATTTGAACGAAAAATATGTTTGAAAAGAAAATGGGAAAAAATGTATTTTGAAAAACTTTATTATCATGATGTAGAGATTTTAGTTTTCTTGGCATAATTCTAACATGTTTTTAAAGTTTGAACTAAATTTTTTGGCATGAATCTTCTCTGGCAGTTAGTAAAAATTAGATTTAAAATTGTGGGAATATAAGTAAAAGATAATTTATAATTTTGCTATAGTAAAGATGGAATCTTAAGATTATTTAGAAAGCAAATGATATGAAGAGATTAAGCAAATGATACAAGTAAAAGATAATTTATAATTCTGCATCTTCAATTCATTCATCTCAAACTAATTACAGTCTATTTCAAACGAATTAAGCAACAAATTCTAAGGTAAGTTGATTTTTATGAATAATGTTTATTTATATGAATAACTTACTATTTTTAATTTGTTGGTATTTGTGGAAGAAATGTGAAGTTTGTGGCGAAAATGAAGTTGGTGGTGTGGAAAGCAATTGGCTTCGTGCGGGGAATCTGCCTGCAATGCAGGGATTCCACACAATGGGGACTCCGTACCAATTTCGTGCGAGGAGTCTGCGGAGACCGGAACTCACTCTTTTTTTTTTGCTTCTTTTTTTAAAGTTTAATTATAATTTTTTTTTATATAAATTGAAGACAAAATCTCAGAATTAGAAAATATATATTAAATCTGATGATTGATATGCATTGATAGCAATTTATTTTTTCCAGCTTACATGATATATATTATATATAAGTATATGAAATCATGAACATATATTGGTATGCGTTATGACATTTTTCATATATATGTTCTATTATTTGTGCAGATGTGTCTAGATTATATACTGTCACCAAATCAATGATTTTCTGCTACTGTCACTCAAAACCCCAATTACTAATATGTAAAAGATTGTATTGAATTGCTTCAAGCAGATAAGCAATCACTTTTATTCTCTAGCAGTAGTAGTTTTCATGGATTTCTTTATGGATTTATGCATAGAGATGAAGAGCAACAATTCAGCAGTAAACTAATACATGAATTTATAATGATGTTTGTTGACTGTGGTAAAATGAATGAGGTGTGGGTGAGGTTGGACGATCATTTTGCTTGTTTTGGTTTGCAAGAATTTTGTCTAATTACAAGATTACTTTACCATGAAGTATCTGTTAATCTTGATCCCAATAATTCTCGACTTAGAGATCAATATTTTGAAAGAAAAAAAAGAATTAACATGAGAATGCTTTACGATGCATTCCAATTGTGTGAAGATCCAGAGGATAAATTAAAATTGGGATTTGTGATGTTGGTAAATGTGTTTTGTCACCAACGGAAAGATATATTGATTACAGAACTTTAGGCATGGTTGAGCAACTGAATGATTTTCTGCTGTATCCTTGGGGCCATAAGGCATACTTTGTTTTGTTGAAGTCGTTGCAACAATCACATATTGAAAGAATACAAAGAATGCAACAGTCTGACCAAAATGAATGTAGATATATACTACATGGATATCCCCTTGCCTTTTAGGTATTTTTTTCTTTCTAATTTATTTACTCTATATTTTGATTTTATATGTATTTAATATTGATTTTGAATTATCTGTTGTATTTTTGGATATACGAATCATTTCATCAAATTGGAGAGAAATTTGGATGACGTATGTATAAGACATTACAGGCTCCAAGAATGCATAGATGGAAACCAAAAAAATATTGAGTGAGAGAAGAGTGAAGCAATTTTTCACTATCCAAAAGGTACGATAATTTTAGATATACATTTAATTATCAAATATCTAATTATTTAATCGTGGGAGTGGAAAGTATTCTAATATTTTATTATATTTGTAGATTAAAGTACTTGCAGTGTTAGCACCTACTGAAGAAGAATTGGACAAAGTTTGGTATATGACTTTATCATTACCAACTAATAACCAACATACTATTTTAGATGGCATCGTTGGTGGAGAATTTGAGAATGCATGTCAACAAATTCCACAACGTATGGACAAGAAACAAACAGGTGTTGTTGGTAGTTCAACAGCGCAGACTTCAATTGGAGTTCAGGAGCCTGTTGTTCTTCTCTTGATTTCAACTATGTAAGAAGAGAAGAAATGGAAGAAATGTTCAGTATGTATAGGCAGCATGTAGTGTCAGATATGTCTGGCTTGTATCATAATCTGAAAACAGTTATAGTTGATAAATTAAGAAGACAGGAAGCAGAAGCTTTTCAAGATCAGAGACAAATGTTTGAACAACATCAGAAATGGTACGAAGATTAACGCCAGGGTTCGGGCTTCCAATCTGGCATGCATTCCTATCATACTGCTCAAGAAACAAAAGAACAAGATGCTTGTTATCAAGAATTTCTTGATCAACAGAAAGAAATGTTTTAACAACACCAGAAATGACATGAAAAGTAGTATCAAAGAATACTTCAACAACAACCAAAATGGCATGAAGATAGTATCTGGGAATGCAGTCTTATATGAACAACAATTTTGCTTCCATGCAGTCTTGTATTGACAACAATTTTGCTTCCATGAGGTCGTACATTGATGACAAAAATGAAAGTGTGATAAATCGATTAGATGATTTGGAATCAAAATTGGAAGCTATTGCTTGCTCATAAAGTAGGATGTACCTAGTTCTAGTAGTGGTCAGAAAGCACTATTTCAAAAAATTTAACCGTTGGGAACATCCAGAAAAGAAACGAAAAATAAGAAAATAAAGTATTCGGGTTATCTGTTAGAAGATTATCTCATGAAAAGATATATAACAATAAGAAAATGGGTGGCGCGGAATTCATCCGGGTAAGAAATTTGATTGTATTTTATTATTTGTATTACATTGATTTAGTATTAATTTAAACTAAAATATATACATATAATGCATATTGGAAGATTGTAGGAGGTGACAAGTTAAATGGAAGAGATACAATAAAAATTATAATGGATGCAGTCAAAGATATCAATATTGCGGTGAGTAAAGTTTATAACTCTGGCTTAATTAGTTTTATTTTATACCCAACATATCTAATTTATTTCTATTTATTGTATTAGCATATAGAAATGGAAATAAAGCTATTGAGAGAATTGATCAATGAATGTTGCAATCTTGTTTCCAAAGAATATGTAATTCTGGACTTCAAATTT